GTCGTGCCGGCGCCGCTAGGCTGAGGATTAGCCTAGTGAGCCGCGGCACCGGCCGACAACTGATGATATTTAAAGTGGTGAGAATATCCATGGTCATAAAGGATTTGAGAAGACAGAAAAGTATCCAAAAGTGCCTTAGGACATTTCAAGTTCACGGTTTACATTAATTCAAAGGTGAATCATTTGCAGAAAGTCTGAGATTCACATTTTGGTAGGCTATGTCTCAGCTAAAGAAAATGGCTTGGGAAAGCCTAGTTGATAGGAAAAAGGTAATCACAGGAACACAAAGAGTTAAGGGCTTAAATTTCTGAAGGTGTATACAGGACAGGAAAACTGTCATTCTCTGAGTTTCTTGATTAGTAGTCCATGACATTGTCTCAACCTTTGAAGAAAGTTCTTTAAATGAGATACAGACACTGTTGTGATTGTCTAATTATCATTATATCACTGAAGGCTATGGTAAGTAAATCTAAATTTGGTAAAAATGTTCTTAGAAGAGAACACATTAAAAAAAGCAGTAAGTAGAAACAACTTTACTTTAAGAGTATAGATGGGCCGGCGCCACGGCTCACTAGGTTAATCCTCTGCCTTGCAGCGCTGGCACACCGGGTTCTAGTCCCGGTCGGGGCGCCGGATTCTGTCCCGGTTGCCCCTCTTCCAGGCCAGCTCTCTGCTGTGGCCCGCGAGTGCAGTGGAGGATGGCCCAAGTGCTTGGGCCCTGCACCCCATGGGAGACCAGGAGAAGCACCTGGCTCCTGCCATCGGATCAGCGCACTGCACCGGCCGCAGCGCGCCAGCTGCGGTGGCCATTGGAGGGTGAACCAACGGAAAAGGAAGACCTTTCTCTCTCTCTCTCTCTCTCACTGTCCACTCTGCCTGTCAAAAAAAAAAGAGTATATATGGGCTAAAATTAATAACAAATTCTGAAAATGTCAATTTCACTCATATACATTACTTTTTGTACTTTGCATGTTAGTTACCACAAATAATGGAAAACATATATTTGCCTTTTTCAGACTGGCTTATTTCACTAGGCATAATGGTCTCTAATTGTATCCAATTTGTTGCAGAAGTCAGGATTTTGTTCTTTTTCACGGCTGAGTAGTATTCCATTGCAGATGTATACTGTAAAGTCTTTATCCAATAATCCGCTTTTGGACATCTGTGTTGATTCCACATCTTCACTATTGTGAGTTGAGCTGCTATGAACATGCGGTACAGATAACTCTCACATGCTGATTTCATTTCCTTTGGGTTAATTCCCAGCGGTGGAATTTCTGGGTCATACGACAGTTCTATTTTTTGATTCCTGAGGAATCTCGATAGTGTCCTTCATAATGGTTATACTCGTATACATTCCCATCAACAGTTTATAGGGTACCATTTCCCCCATGTTCTCGGCGACATTTGTTATATTTATTTATTTATTTTTGGATGGTAGCCATTCTAGGTAGGGTGAAATGAAACTTCATTGTGGCTTTTATTTACATTTTCCACATGCTTGTGATCCTACATTTTATTTGAAGACAATGAAATAAAGAAAGACTTTTGTCAACCTTTGCAAGTAGAGACGTGTTTACTTTGCACTTCCTCATCTCTCTCACTCCTAACTCCTACTCACTCTTCCTGGCTGAATCCCCTTGATTCCCACTTCCTTCAACTTAACATTCCCCCAAAGATACCAAATACAAATATCTGCAGCTATGATCCATTAGCTTAGGGAAGGGATCTCTGGACTCTTGGTTATCTTTGCATTATTTCCTTGCTTTATGGGATTTTTTTTTAAATGGGTCACTGATTCTTTTTTTTAATGTTTCTTTATTTTATTTTATTTTTATTTATTTATTTGACAGGTAGAGTTACAGACAATGAGAGAGACAGAGAGGGAGGTCCTCCCTCCGCTGGTTCACCCCCCACATGGCCGCTACAGCTGGCACTGCGCCCATCCAAAGTCAGGAGCTTCTTCCTGGTCTCCCCTGCGGGTGCAGGTGCCCAAGCACCTGGGCCATCCTCCACTGCCTTCTCAGGCCACAGCAGAGAGCTGGACTGGAAGAGGAGCAACCGGGACTAGAACCCGGCACCCATATGGGATGCCGGCACCGCAGGCGGAGGATTAACCAAGTGAGCCACAGTGCCGGCCCCCTTTATGGGATTTATACAGTGAATTTTCTTGTTCCGGGAAGCATTGGAGAAGCCATGTGTGAAAAGTCTTTGTTAACTGCTCTACAGACTGACAGTGCTTCGCACATGAATCCCAGCAACATCTGTGGGCTGTCCGTTATCATCTCTCACCACAGTCCACAGACTTCTAGGAAAATCAGTTTGAGGAACTAATGAATCAGAATGAAAGAAAGCAGGTGAGAAATAAAATCAGCAGTAGGTAAAAGTCTTCAATACAACAAGATTATATTATTTTCTGTAATGAGAAAAAGTTGTAGCCATGACTTTATACCCAGCAGACACAGCTCCAGCTGAGGGTCAGTTGCTACGCAGCATAGATTAACCAGAAGAGAGTTGCCCAGTCACCAGCATCTGGGACGTCTCCTGCCCCATGACACATGTGGGAGAACTTGCAGCAGAATCATGGGAAAGGTCTCCACATTCATATTCATCAGAATGTGGGCAATTTGGGTGTCCAATAAAGCTGAAATGAGAAAAATGCACATTCTATACTCTGTGACCACATTTCTAGAATACTAAATAAGTGGTTTCTATGATACTACCATTAGAAAAAAATAAAATGTTTGTTTTCATACTGGCTTTATTATCCAACTAAAATTCATGAGCATGACTTTATGATAAACACATATATAATAAATATATATAAATATAAATAAACATATAAGTATATTTATTTATAAGTATATTTATATATAAGTATATATTTATATATAAGTATGTAGATATACATTCTCATATATATTTCTTATGATAAATATATAAATATACATTCTCTTTCATTTTTATGTTTTTTACTCCATTCTTATCCTTGTTTTGAAAGCTACTTTTAAGAATACATCCTCTGCATAGAGATTACCATATGTCAGAAAATCATACCCAATGTTTCTATTAACTTTGCAAGGTCAGCCTTTCTCAAGCTAAATGAAGGATTTGAGTCCTTATAAACACACAGTGAAAAGGAAGGGGAAAATGTCAAACTGGAAATCCATTAAGTTACAAGTCTGTAAGGGACAATTCCATATTGAGGGATATATATTTCTGCATAAGGACATTTTAAAGGCTAATCTTTATACTTACTGAACATACATACTGAACAGGTTTGTATTAGTATTACTTTCTAAACTTATTAGCTAGATATTTATGCATAAAAAATCAAGGGTGTTGGGGCTGGCACTGTGCGCAGAGGGTTAACTCCCTGGCCTGAACGCCGGCATCCCATATGGGCGCCAGTTCTAGTCCTAGCTGCTCCTCTTCCAATCCAGCTCTCTGCTATGGCCTGGGAAAGCAGTGGAAGGTGGCCCAAGTCCTTGGGCCCTTGCACCCACGTGGGAGACCTGGAAGAGTCTCCTGGCTCCTGGCTTCAGATCGGTGCAGCTCTGGCCATTGCAACCATCTGGGGAGTGAACCAGCAGATGGAGGACCTCTCTCTCTCTCTGCCTCTCCTCTCTCTGTGTAACTCCGACTTTCAAATAAATAAATAAATCTTTAAAAAAAAGATCAAGAGTAGTCCAAAAATTAAAAAAAGCTCTGTTATGAAATAAATTAATGTCTCAAGGCTTCTTTCCATCTATTCTTGAAGCTCTGTTGAAATGGATATCATCAAACCTAAGGATCATCAGGTATTGCTCTAGGCATTACCCAATCTAATGGGTTTCTTTTATTTATGATTTCATTATTAGTGTGATGTATTGAAATTCATCACCAAATTAATTTTACTTTAATGTGTAAACACTCATTCTTCTATTTTCTTCCTGGAAAAGGTTTTGTTTGAGTAAACTTTCAAGACTTCTGAAATTAGTACTGCTTTGTTTCAAAAATACAGGTGAAACTTATGTATTTAACTTGTAAGTTCTTACAGGTACATGTTTAGGGAAGAGAATGATGTCAAACAAGCTTACTAACATAAATATTAAGTAAGTCCCTTGTATTTTAGTATAAGCTAAATTCTTCCAAAGTCTCCATGATTCAAGACTATTTTGTCCAGAAAATCTACTAAGCATAAATCAATCAATCATGTATGAATATGGGGACTCTTGTTGTGCATAACAGTTATTGAGATTATTGATTAACTTACATGTCTGTAAAATCGTGGAAGGCAAATTATCTTAATGACCTTAGATATAAACAGACATGCCTGTGAATGAAGACAACTGCTGCCCAGGACCACAAGGTTGTTGGAAATGCCTTCAATCAGAGAAGTATGTGTCATTTTACAAACACTGAATTAGGCTACATTGGTGATTCCCATAGTGCACGTTCATAGATAGTAGGGCAATAGAAGCTAATGCCTTTCCTACACTCCTCTTCAGAAAATAAATGGAGACAACACGTTTCCAAAGCCACTTACATATCAGCTGGATAATAGTGAAGATTTTTGTTCGGGCCATCCAGAGCTTTCATGTCCTCTGAAGACAACTGAAATTCAAACACCTGTTAGAGAAGTACAATATTTGGTTATTTTTATACTGAATATTTGTCAATCTGGAAAATCCTGAAAAATTTCCAAACATTTTGAGACACGAAGCAAATCATTCTTCAATAAGCGCTGGGTGTTGGGTGGAATGTAAACTAGTATACCATGATGAAATAGTGTATGGAGATTTCTCAGAAATTTGAAAATATTGCTTTTTTTAATTTTTTAAAGATTTTATTTATCCATTTGGCAGGTAGAGTTACAGACAATGAGAGAGAGACAGAGAGAAAGGTCTTCCTTCTGTTGGTTCACTCCCCAAATGGCCAAGGTGGCTGGAGCTGTGCTGAATTGAAGCCAGGGGCTAGGTGCTTCTTCTTGGTCTCCCATGTGGGTGCAGGGCCCAAGCACTTGGACCATCCTCCACTGCCATCCCGGGCCACAGCAGAGAGCTGGACTGGAAGAGGAGCAACTGGGACTAGAGCCAGCACCCATATGGGATGCCGGCACCGCAAGCGGAGGATTAACCTAGTGCCCTCTGAAAATATTTCTACTGCTCATCAAACCATCCCATTCCTGAGCATTTAACCACAGAAATTAAATCAGCTTATGAAGTAGCATATGAATCCCCATTTTTAAAGCATCTCAATTCACATGAGCTAAGATATGAGATCAACCCATTTGTTCATCAACTGATGACTGCATAAAGAAATCTGGTTCATACACACAATGAAATAATACTCAGCCATAAAAAAGAAGGAAATTCTGTCTTTTCCAACAAAGTAGAAGCAAACCGAGGAGAATTATGCGTAATGAAATAAGCGAGACCCTAAAAGATAAACATCATATGTTTTCTCTGATTTGCAGTAGCTAACATATAGAATGCACACGTGTAAACCTATACACACACACACACAACTGAATGTAGGAGAGTGAAATTGACATCCTATGATTTGATTATTCTTTATAGCTCTTGTATATATTCCTGTGGAACAGTCCTTCAACTTTTACTTATTAAACACAATATTTACTTGAACATTAAATATATGGTTATAAAATAAATGGAATTAATTCTATCAAAAATTAAAAGAATAAAGAAAGGAAGATGGAGGGAAAGGCCAAGGGACTGAAGGAAGTATCAATATGTCTTAGAATTGTGTCTATGAAATATATAAATTCTGTTCTCTTTATGTTAACCATAAAAAATTTAAAAAATAATAAAATCAGTATGTGTGAGGAGTTGGTTTTGTGGCACAGAAGGTTAATCAGCACCTGCAATTCAGTCATTTCTTGTTGGCACCAATTAGAGTCCTAAATGCTTGACTTCTGATACAGGTCCCTGCTATGGGCCTGGGAAAACAATGGAGGAAGTCAAAAGTGCTTACACCCCTCCGACCATGTGGGAATCTCAGATTATTGTCCAGGCTTCTGGCTTTAGCATGAGACAGGCCAAGAGTTGTGACCCTTAGGGAGTGAATCAGCGTATGGAAGATATTCTCTCTCTTTCTCTCTCTTTCTCTCTCTCTCTCTCTCTCTCTCTCTCCCCTCCTGCTTTCTCTGTATCTTTGCCTTTCAAATGAATAAAATCTTTAAAAAAGTAAAAAATAAATAAAAGCAGTGCACTTTGCTAGTGCACTACTAATTATAATATATTAAAACCACACAATATTAAAGATAAAAAGAAGTCTCAACGTTAGCTGTAGAAGGAAGCTGACATTACTTAAAGAAGATAGGGCCATGCACTTACAAGATCTAGAAGATTCTAAAGGCAAACATTGAAATATATAAGATTATTTAGTAAAGTTCCTTGATGTAGTCATGTGTTTATATCCCATCAGTGAAGAAAGAAAAGAACAGAAAATTTTGATAATTTGAAAAAGAAAAAGGTATTTTTAAAAATTCTCTTGTAATTAATGGAGAGTTTCAATTCAATATTAAGCAACAGCTTAAAGTCTTATTCTATGTGGAAAGTGAAAGTCCTTACAAATTTTACATAACAATTAATTCAATGAAAAGTAACTGAGATATTTTAAATATGAGGTATTAGTAAATGTTTTACCATACTGGAAAACAGAGCTTTATTTTGCAACTCTACAGAAACGAAAACAATCTCTTGAGGAGAGGAGTGAATTCAGATATGTATATGCAGAGTAAAGAGAGGATCATTGATGTGGCAAAATGTCAGAATTACACAGTGACAGAATGAGTGAGAGATACAGAGTGAGAGAAAGAAAGACAGAGATCTCTCACCTACCAGTTTACTCTCAAATGTCTGCAAGAATCAGAGCGGAGGGCGGGGGGGAGGCAGAAGCCAGCAGCCTGGAAATCAGTTTGGATCTCTAACAAGGGCTCCATGCATTCAAGCACAGGGACATAACTTGTTGATTCCTATGGAACCGGGGCTCAAATCCAGGCATTTCAGTATGAGCTAACAGCATGCCAAGCAATGAAACAAATTCTTAATCTTGATATTCTTTCTGAAAGTATATATGCATGTCAGTGGACTCTTACACATTTTTCACATGGTATTTTAAAAACACCAGTTGAATTAATAACCAAATTTAGAAAGACCATAATGTTTTATAGATAATATAGTAAAATATTATCCTGTTCCCAAAATAAAGAACACTTGGACCAGCCACAAAACTCTAAACATACAAAAGTAGGAATTTTTATCGTGAAAATATACCATAAAGAGAATACAGTTTGTGAGAACGTGTTGTAAAAGGTTTACGTATTTATTTGAGACATGATTTCAGAAAGAAAGGGAGAGACACAGAGAGAGTTATTCTAATTGCTGGCTCACTCCCCAAATTGCCACAACAGCTGAGGCTGGGCAGACTGAAGCCAGGAGCTAGGGGATTCATACTAATCTCCCAGGTGGATGGTAAGAGCCCAGACACCCTTGCAATCCTCCGCTGTTGTCCTAGGCACTTCATCAGAGAGCTGGATCAGAGAGAAGAACCAGAACTAGAACTGGCTTCCATATGGGATGCTGGAGTTGCTGGCAGCAGCTTGACCTGCTGTACCACACTGGGCCCTGAGAAAATTTTTAACAAATACATCTTGATATAAAATTAAAGCCCAGAATACATAAACATGCTAGATTGAGTAGTGAACTATCTCCCAATACTTCACTTTGCTAGGCTCTATACCCCTTGGATCCATTAGCTATTACACAACAATTTCAGTGTGGCCGGTCTGTTAATGGTTATAGAACTTGTCAGAACAACTGTATGGCAGTTCTGAGAAGGCTTTTCCAGTATGCAATCAGTGCCTTTGGACTGTGCCATGTAATGAAGAGAAGCCCAGGATACTTAGCTGTAGGATGAAGAAGTACATGGAGGAGCACTGAGGCATCCCATGCAATGCTCAGTTAACATCATAAAGGGAGCTGCCTCTTTATGATTGGGAGGGGGGGGTGGATTGCAAGTACATGAAAGAGCCTAAATAGAACACAAACTGAATGAGTTCAGGCTCAGCCCGGGCTAATTCACAATCCACGAAAGGATGTTATAAATTAGTTAAATACAATCATCTGTTCAGAAGGTATTTTTTATTTTACAACTACAATAATAATAGTTAAATAATGGTTTCTTAATTAAAAACGCAGACACAGTCAATATATTTATATGGTGCTTCACTAGATAGGAAAACCATATGAATGTGAAAACAATATGAATATCAAGCTATATGAATTCTAAAATTACAAAAAATACAATGTGTAAGCCAAATCGACATCTTCCAAAAAGGAATAAATCTCAAGGACTCTGAGCCCCACATGCTCATCACCTGAATGTTCTCTTTGATCTCCTTCGCTATGAAACTCTTGGCCAGGGCCACAACCCCACGCTGCAGCTGGTAGCGAAGGGCAATCAGGGCTGGACTTCGCTTGTGCTTTTTGGCCAGGGCACTGATGACTGGGTCTTCCAGGAGAGCTGGGTAGCTCTGGTCCACCCTGCAAGGACGGCAGAAAAGCTGACCTCCTGATGCAGGGCGTTCAGTTTGATAAGAGGCTTTCAGAACAGCCTGGGGGCCCACCCTAGACCAGCACTTCTCAAAGATGGCCCCTGGCCCAGCAGGGTTAGTATTATATCTGATGTTGTGCAAATGCAGGTTATCCTGTATCTCCTAGCCATTTGAGAATTAACGTCACAAAACTAACTATTGTACAACCAATAGTATTTCATGAACAGTGGTGTTTTCCATAAGCATTCCGAGTTTCTTTTACCATTTTGGATCTTGACTTGATCCCAGAGCACCATAGGCAACCAGAACAACATATTTTGATTTTCAGAAATCCAGCAGTTTGCTCTGATTGAGATGGGGATGGTATTCCACCTGTGGATAGAGAAGATTAAAAGTATCAGAGTATATGAAATGTTAATATTAAAAAAGAAAAATTTAAAAAGTAAAAGCTGAATTCAGAAATGAAACATGGAAAACAAACTGAAATTATCATCATATAAGGATTTTAATCTGCTTTAAAGACTTTTTTATTTATTTTTGAAAGACAGAAGGACAAAGACAGAGAGAACTCCTCTAACTCTAGTTCACTTCCCCAAATGAACATAATGAACTGCACTTTGCCAGGCCAAAACCTGGAGCTCAAACTCCATCCCCGTCTCCCATGTGGATGGCAGTTTCAAGTAGTTGAGCCTTTTTTAATTCCCCAGGTACAGCAGCAGGGAGCTAGACCAGAAATGGAGCAACTAGGACTTGAACTGGTACTCCAATATGGGATGCAGATATCACAAGCACACAGCTTTAGCGCAGTGATGACCCCCAACTAAAGATTTTTTTGGGCCGGCGCCGCGGCTCATTAGGCTAATCCTCCAGCTGCGGCACCAGCACCCTGGGTTCTAGTCCTGGTTTGGGCACCGGATTCTGTCCTGGTTGCTCCTCTTCAGTCCAGCTCTCTGCTGTGGCCCCAGGAGTGCAGTGGAGGATGGCCCAGGTCCTTGGGCCCTGCACCTGCATGGGAGACCAGGAGGAAGCACCTGGCTCCTGGCTTCAGATCAGCGCACCGCACTGGCCGCAACACGCCGGCCGTAGCGGCCACTTGGGGAGTGAACCAATGGAAAAAGGAAGACCTTTGTCTCTCTCTCTCTCTCACTGTCTAACTATGTCAAAAAAATCTTTTTTTTTTTTTTTTGACAGGCAGAGTGGACGGTGAGAGAGACAGAGAGAAAGGTCTTCCTTTGCCGTTGGTTCACTCTCCAATGGCCGCCGCGGCCGGCGCACCACACCGATCCGAAGCCAGGAGCCAGGTGCTTCTCCTGGTCTCCCATGGGGTGCAGGGCCCAAGCACCTGGGCCATCCTCCACTGCACTCCCGGGCCATAGCAGAGAGCTGGCCTGGAAGAGGGGCAACCGGGACAGAATCCGGCGCCCCAACCGGGACTAGAACCCGGTGTGTTGGCGCCGCAAGGTGGAGGATTAGCCTACTGAGCCGCGGCGCCGGCCAAAAAATAAGATTTTTTTGAAAGCAATAAATATCCTCTCTGTCTCTCCCTGTCTGTCTATAGCTCTACCTTTCATATAAGTAAATAAAATCTTTTTTAAAAGTGTATTACTGAAGCATTAATAAGCATTATCTATTGAGGAATTGGACTGAAACTAGTACACACAAAAGTAATTATAAAGAGGTAGTGCAGATGCATGTGGAAAGTGGAACCATTCAATACAATAGATTGGGGAACTTGGCAGGCACCTGTGGGAGAACTGAGTTGGATTCTGCATCAGAGGTGGGCATTTGTCACCTGAATCCATTCTCCCCTATTTCCAGAGCGCACAGATTAATGTAGTAGCCCTCTCGGTGGTTGGAGGTGGCTACACTCCAAATTGTTGCCGCCAAGTGCATATAGGTAACAGTAAGATGTGCATTTTGGCCTGGGACTTTGAGTCATGTAGAAAGTGCTTTCTCTCCACTCATCTCTCTTCTCACTTGCTGCTGCCCAGACCTGGGGGCAGCCCAGCACTGACCTAGAGACCAGGATACCTTAGGTGGTGGAGGGAAAACAAGATGGTACCCAAATTCCTGATTGGCTGTGTCCAATTCAGGCAACCACAGATCTGGAATTTGTACCAGTCATATGAGATGTTCACTTTCAGTCACTGGGCATTTTTGATGCTGATCTCTAAATACATGCCAGCCCTCAGCCTGTCTCCTACAAACCCCTAACTCCTTGCTCCACCAAATCAGCTGAGTTGCAGCAAAGTTTAAATGCAAAAAGATGACGTGTGGGAGGACTTTAAAACTTTTTTATTAGGCGGGCGCCGCGGCTCACTAGGCTAATCCTCCGCCTTGCAGCGCCGGCACACCGGGTTCTAGTCCCGGTCGGGGCGCCGGATTCTGTCCCGGTTGCCCCTCTTCCAGGCCAGCTCTCTGCTGTGGCCCAGGAGTGCAGTGGAGGATGGCCCAAGTGCTTGGGCCCTGCACCCCATGGGAGACCAGGAAAAGCACCTGGCTCCTGGCTTCGAATCAGCGCGGTGCGCCGGCCGCAGCACGCCAGCCACGGCGGCCATTGGAGAGTGAATCAATGGCAAAGGAAGACCTTTCTCTCTGTCTCTCTCTATCTCTGTCCACTCTGCCTGTCAAAAATTAAAAAAAAAAAACTTTTTTATTAGAAAAAAATTTTTTCTGTATATATTTAGGGAACGCAATGTGATTATTTGATGTACATATACATTGTGAAATAATCACCACAGTCAAGTTAATTAAATATCCATCACTGGGACACATATTTGGCCTAGTGCTTAACACGTGCACATTTCCTGTCTGGCTATCTGGGTCCTACACCTGGCTCAGCACCCAATTCCCGCTTCCTACTGAAGCACACCCTGGGAGGCAGCAGATGATGGCTCAAGTACTTCACTGTTGGTCACATAAGATATATGGAAAGAGTTTCCTGCCTGGCTTCCTGATGCCACAGGGCCTGCCTGCGGGGAAGGCCAGGTGTTCACCTATACCTGCCTGGGCTGAGCCATGGTCCAGGAACCCTGAAGGTAGCCACTGAACTCTTATCAGGGCTGCGGAGGAGCTGCCTTCCTCTCTGGAGATGACGACCTGGAATGCCCCTCCGCGCCTCCCTGGGGCCCAGGGGAAGGGTCTCCAGATGTGCAAGCCTGGAAGCCTGATGGTCCGGTCCCAAGGGGAGACTGCAGGCTTTGGTACCCTGGGATTGCCGGGGCGGGAGCTGCGCCCAATCTTCACGGAGTGCGCTCTCTCCCAGGCGGTTGCCACCCCAGGGCTTGCCAGGGCCCTCCGCTCCCAAAGGCAGCAGCTCACAGAAACGCGGAGACATGGGCAAGAATTGGCAACAGACACTTGGCTGGTCCTCCAAGCCTGAGGCGCTGTTCTCTGCCGTATGTCACCTGCCTCCGAGACTGAATGGGCCTTCGACGCTCGCCTGGCTGGTCCACGTTCACCTTGCCGGCCCTTCGTCACCGGGAGTGCGCAGACCGTGTGTTGCGCGATGCCTGTACAGGTCTTGTCGGAACCAGGACTACAGGGGAAACTCACAGATCAATGAGAAAAAAACCAAGGAAGAGGAGCTACGGCTATGCAGAGGACATTCACAAAAGGGCCAGGAAGCAGGAACACACGTTGAACCTCAGCCGCGCTCCAAACTTCGGCTTCTCCCACACAGCGGCTGCGAGAGTGCGAGCACCAGACACTCACTCATAGCTGAACTGTAAACTGTAGGAATTCGGGAGTGCAACTTGACAGACAGTATCTAGCAGAACCTGAGTCCCATCCTCCATCAGCCATGCCTCTTGCAGGAATCCCGAATGCCGCAGGACGGTGTGCTCAATTCCTCTCAGGCATACTTCTTGCTGGAACATCCACACCTGCACCGTCACAAGCACATGGAGGCCCAGTTAGTGGCAATAATCTATAATTGTTTATTAATAGAGGAAAGGGTTACAAAAATGTATTCTGTTTACAAATTATATCTTTAAGATAGTTCACATTAGTCACACCTGTGCTAACAGGGACGAATTTAGAAATGGTAATGTTAAGTGAGTAAAGGATATGCACATGTCATATTTATGTGCAGGGTTTTAAAATTTGGAACAATACCATATTGCTTGTGGACTTGCTTTGATAAAGTCTGAGATCAATGATAGCAAGGCCACACATCAACTTTAGATCCCAGGTTACTTTTGGGAAGGAAGAATGGGGATTAATTGGATAGAGGGACCATTCAATTCCACTTGTAGACTATTGATTCTTAAAATAGTTGAAACAAAGATGGCAAAAAAATTAAAGTGTGTCACGCTGGAATGGTGGGGCAAGTTTTGACCTAGTGTCTCCTGTGGGTTAAGATGACCATGTTCTCCACTGGTGTTTCGGGGACTGATTTCTAGCTCCAGCTCCCAATTTCAGTTCTTGCTAATGCAGGGTCTGGATGAGAGTTGTGATGGTTCAAGTACTGGGTTCCCTGCCACCCACATGGGCTATTGGTATGGGTTCACATCTTCCAGCTTTGGCCAGAGATCCCCAGCCCCAGCTGTTGTGTACCTCTGGGGAGTGAAGCAGCAGATAGGAGCTCTCTCTGTCTCTGTCTCTCTGTCTCTGAAATCAATGTGTTTTCTTTAAAATTCTTATTTATTTATTTATTTATTTATTTGAAAGTCAGAGTTACACAGAGAGAGGAGAAGCAGAGAGAGAAAGAGAGAGAGAGGTCTTCTATCTGCTGGTTCACTCCCCAATTGGCTGCAACGGCCGGAGCTGTGCTGATCCAAAGCCAGGAGCCAGGAGCCTCTTCTGGGTCTCCCACGTGGGTGCAGGGCCCCAAGGACTTGAGCCATTCTCCACTGCTTTCCCAGGCCACAGCAGAGAGCTGATTGGAGGTGGAGCAGCTGGTTCCTTTGTGCCCATATGGTATGCCGGCACTTCAGACGCCACAGCACCAGCCCCAATATAAGTTTTTTAATTTGGAAAATGATTGGGCAGGCATTGTGGTGCAGCAGATTAAGCTGCTGCCTACAATGCCCGATCACACTGCTGCTCCATTTCCAATCCAGCTCCCTGCTAATGGCCCTGTGAAGGCAGCGAAGATGGCCAAGTTCTTGGGTTACTACACCCATGTGCTTGTGAGACCCAGATGCAGTTCCCGGCTCCTGGCCATGTCTGGGCCTGGCCCAGCCCCAATTGTCGCAGTGATTTGGGGAGTGAATGAACAAATGGAAGATCTCTTTCTCTCTGTCTCTTCATCTCTGTCACTGCTTTTCAAATAAAGAAATTTAAACAATAAATTTAGAAAATTATTCATTAAATGTAATATTTTCCTCTATTTTGTACATGAGGAATCTTTTATAAGTTCAAGAGAGTTAACATGGGCCGGTGCCGTGGCTCACTTGGTTAAATCCTCCACCTGCGGAGCCGGCACCCCGGGTTCTAGTCCCAGTTGGGGCGCCAGGTACTAGTCCCGGTTGCTCCTCTTCCAGTCCAGCTCTCTGCTGTGGCCAGGGAGGGCAGCAGAGGATGGCCCAAGTGCTTGGGTCCCTGCACCCGCATGGGAGACCGGGAGGAAGTACCCGGCTCCTGGGGCTCCTGGCTTTGGATCGGCACAGCGCTGGCTGTAGCAACCATTAGGAGAGTGAACCAACGGAAAGAAGACCTTTCTCTCTGTCTCTCTCTCACTGTCTATAACTCTCTCTCTCACTGTCTAACTCTACCTGGAAAAAAAAAAAAAGAAAGAGAGAGAGAAAGAGAGAGTTAACATGGACAAAATGAAATAGGTTACAATGCATACATAGAATTTAACACTCTTAAAAGCCTCCACATCAAAGAACTTAGTGATATGGGGGAAAGGGTACAATATGCATTATTT